ATTTCTGTGGGACATGTATGTGGAGATGTCTGGAAGGCAATTGGATATATGGTCTGTAGCTCCAGATAATGTCTGGGGGGGCATCAGAATGCAGTGGAAGCAGAATCCACGCAGCTGGTTGAGATCACAACTGCAGTGAATAAGAAGAGAATAGGACCTTGACTGGGGGTCCAAGGAACCACAACACTGAAAGGATGAGAGGAAGACAAAGACCCCCAAAGGAGACAGAAGGAAATGCCAGTGTTCTTAGGCTAATGTGAACATTACTGTCAAAATATTTGCATTTTTCCAAACTGGAATAGTGCAAATAAAAATACTGAGATAATTTTGTTAATTTGATCTAAGTGCAATACAAATAAATGTCACATTTGAAGAACAAGATTTGAGACTTTTTCCTAAATAAATACAAGTACCAATGAACACATGAAAAGTTGTTCAACCTCACTAATGGCGATGCAAGCAAAAACATATAAAATTGGGCTCTGGAAGAGGTCACTGTATGTTTATTAACTATATTACTTGGGGGGTGCCTGGGGGACTCAGTCGGTTAAGCCTCCGACTTCAGCTCATGTCATGATCTCACAGTTTGCGAGATCGAGCTCTGCGTCAGGCTCTGTGCTGACAGTTCAGAGCCTGGAGCCTGCTTTGGATTCTGGGGCTTCCTCTCTCTCTGCCCCTCCCCAACTCGTGCTCGCTCTTTCTCTCTCTCTCTCAAAAATAAAAACATTTTAAAAAGTTAAAAAATAAAAATAAATAAATGAACTATATTACTTGGGATTGACAAGGGTGTAATGGAAGAGGTCCTCTTGTCAATGCTGGCGGGACTAACTGGAGAGCAATTTGGCCAAATCTACCAAGTATCACAAAAGCCTTTACACCCTTTGGCCCAGCAATTCTACTTTCTAGATTGACTCATACGCAATTAATTAGATTCATGTAAAGGATTTACATAAACATTTATGTGAAAAGATTTCTTCCACTGCATTATTTATAAAAGCAATAATTTATTTTAAATTTTGAATGTATAATTACATGGGAATAGATTGGGCTACATTCAAGTAAGAGAGGAGTAAGTAATCACCAAAACTCATGTTTTGGGTAATTAATACTATGACAAAATGTTCAGTATATAATACTAAGTGAAATATGCATAATAATTCCAATATGTTACAAATATACACACAGACACAGCCGAAGAAAATACAAGTAATAATAGTGGCTACCTAGTGATGATTGAATTACAATGAACTTTTCACTTCCTTCTCTATATATTTCTGTATTTTCTCAATTATCTATAATGCACACTGTAATTCTTGTAATTTAAAACAAGAGATACTCCTGCTATTATATTCTAATATTTTCATTACTAAAAGCTCTTCTTTTTATTTCAAAATACCTCCATTATCCTTAAGGACATTTTCATAGACCCTAACTGCGAATTTGGTTCTAGTTCTTATGTAATGTTGCCGCCATTTTCTAGACCGCTATTTTCAAAACAAAAGGACAGCAGGGCTTAACAGATCAACATTGAAAACTCCAACCAAGTATTGGCACTTAAGTCAAATTTAAAGAAACTTAAATTATAGCCCTATAAAGCAAAAACTTCAGAGGACAGTGTATAATGTTGGGATTGACTGTGATTTGGATCTAAGACAGAAAGAGGCATGGGAAAGCTAGCCATTCTAAACTGTTAGAACTATTTCCAACCATCAATTATCAGCTGAAAGCAACCTGAATTTCATTACCTGGAGAAAAAAAAAAAAAAAGACTTGAAACCCTCTTGAAAAATGTTTTTCCTTTTAGAAAAATGTTTTTTGTCATACAATGATCTTATTTATGAAATTTGTGTTGTTAAACCACATGCTAGTGTGAATTCACTTGCTGACTAGAACACAGAGAAATTACATGCAGAAGGTTAGATATAAAGATTCCTGCTTGCAACAAAGAAAGTACGTTAATCGATTGCCTTAGATTGTTGTAATTGAGAATTCATCTTGTTGATAAAAAATTATGTAGAATCAAGAGATATTCATCATTTCTAAAACTGATGAATCTTTCTTAATGAGCCAATGACTGGCTCAGAGTTTTGCCAAAGATGCTTGATAAAAAGTCAGGAAAACTATTGAGTAAACTGTTTTATGCAAACATGTATAACTATTAACAAGATCTTGTCAATTTCAATTGCAGATAAAAGACAAAAATGACAAATCTTGTATGCAGGAGGTTTATACCTGATGTTCGTTTTCAAACACTTTTGTTATTTTATTACTTTTCAGAAAAGGGAAGTCATTAACTGTGTAAGAGTGATTTCATCTGTATAGCTAGCTTTTTAAGACTTTTCCTATAAAGTCATACATAAGAAAAAAAAGTCACTGTTAGATCTTGTATCCCAATTTTTGTCTTTCATAAAATGGAATCCAAAACAATAGGTAAAAATTAATTTTACAATTAAGTTCACAGCAAAAGTAAGTCAGTGAAGAGGAAAAAAAGCAGTATAATGAATGATGCTGAGTCAACTGATCAACTAAATGGGAAAAATTAATTTAGATCTCCATCTCATGCCATTCATCAAAGTAAGTTCCAAATAGGGGCGCCTGGGTGGCTTGGTCGGTTAAATGTCCGACTTCGGCTCAGGTCATGATCTCACGGTCCATGAGTTCGAGCCCCGCGTCGGGCTCTGTGCTGACAGCTCAGAGCCTGGAGCCTGTTTCAAATTCTGTGTCTCCCTCTCTCTGCCCCTCCCCTGTTCATGCTCTGTCTCTCTCTGTCTCAAAAATAAATAAATGTTAAAAAAAAAATTAAAAAAAAAAAGTAAGTTCCAAATAGATCAAAGAGTTAAATGTTTGGGGGAAAAACCTGTAAGAAGAAAAAATTTATCTGCTAACTGGGAAAAGATTTAACTTAAAAATGTAATCACAAGAGAAAAAATATAGATTTGAAAATATATTCTATCTAATAATTAGCCCAAGAATACAAGCAGAGGATTTACCAAAGAAGAAATAAAAATAAGTACTAAAACGTGAAAAATGTTTAACCTCATTAATATTCAAAGAAATACAAATTAAAACAAGGTGCCATTTTTAGCCTCAATTAGCAAAGATTTTCAAAATGACAATATGATTCTAGCGAAATTATGTGAGAAAAAACAAACACTCTCATTCCTGCTGATTTAGGGTGTAAATTGGTATACTCTTTCTAAAAACTCAATTAGCAACAAATAATGAGCCATAAAATGTTCACACCCTTTGATATAGTAATCCATTCCCAGGAGTCTCAAGATAATCTAACATGAGGATAAAAATGTATGCACAAGTATGTTCATTATAGTTTTATGGGTAATAGCAAAAACTTTGAGGTAAACTAAATAAACTTGGAAATTAAACTTACATAAGTGATTTAGGATTGCTTAATTAAATTGTGGTATGCTCAAAGAATAAGTAGTATCATATTATTAAATTTCTTCATAAAAAATTTTAAATTGTATAGAAATGACTATGATATAAAATTACATGACAAAATTCAAAATTAAATCCATGTAGCATGACATTTAAAAGTTTTACAATAGGGGCACCTAAAATGGCTCAGTCGGTTAAGCATCCAACTCTTGATTTCAGCTCAGGTCATGATCTCACAGAGTGTGGGTTCAAGCCCCGTGTCTGGCTGTGTGCTGACAGCACGAAGCCTGCTTGGGATTCTTTCTCTCTGCCCCTCCTTTGCACACATGCTTGTGCTTGCTCTCTCTGTCTCTCTCTCTCAATATAAATAATCTTTTTAAAAAGTTTTATAATACACACATGCTCATAAAATTTTTATTAACCTTATTGTTTTGTACTATTGTGAGAATATGGCCGGATTCTCACTAAATTTGAAGGGTGTACATGGGGTGATCTGACCTAAAATACAGGCTACGTGGCACACAAACAATTCACTTTGTGGCTGCCTAAGGATCAGGCAGTCATTCTCCAGAAAACATTTGGGCATAAACTGTGATTGAACCATTCCACACTTGAACAACTGTATAGAGCTGGGTCAAAAGAAGTAACAGCAGGAATTAACAGTCATTACTGATGACTGGTTCCTCTGAGCAACAAAGGACTGGCCAGCAAAATATATGTGCATGAGTGCACATGCGTGTGCACACATACATTTAAAAAGCTAGAAAGAGGGGCGCCTGGGTGGCGCAGTCGGTTAAGCATCCGACTTCAACCAGGTCACGATCTCGCGGTCTGTGAGTTCGAGCCCCGCGTCGGGCTCTGGGCTGATGGCTCAGAGCCTGGAGCCTGTTTCCGATTCTGTGTCTCCCTCTCTCTCTGCCCCTCCCCCGTTCATGCTCTGTCTCTCTCTGTCCCAAAAATAAATAAACGTTGAAAAAAAAAAAAAGCTAGAAAGAAATACCCCATAATATTAGCAGTGGTTTTCTGATATTCTAGAATTGTGCCAAGATGGTGGACACTAGACACATGTGGTATTTCTGTTTAAACTAAAATTAAATAAAATTTAAAATTCCTTCGTTCGGCTAAACTAGTCACATTGTTCAAGGACTCAAGAGCCACATGTAGCTAGCAGCTATCATTTTAAACAGCACAGACATAGAACATTTCTATTGTTCCACAAAGTTTTTTTGAACAGTGCTGTTCTACAAGATTTCTTATGTTCTTCTTTATACTTTTTCCAAATTTATTACAATATGCATTGTAGTAGATTCCTCTTAGAAACAAGGGGGAAAACACCATGAGAAAAGAAAAAGAGGTTAACAGAGCAAACACTCATACTAGAGGTGCAGAGGACATATTCTCTAGAGAAAACCCAGGGGAATAATAATCTGGGGAAAAGCAGGAGGACACAGGCACCGTGGGAAGAACAGGAAAGGCTAGAAAGAGACACGGGAATAATAGACATTGCAAGGAAAGGAAAGAAAGGACACAGAAATTCCAACAGCAGGGGTGGGGAAGGAGGCAATTACGGCAAGGAGCCACAGATTCTGGGCTCTCCCCACTCACCAGCCATTACAGCTGCTGACCGCTGAGCTGGCTCAAAAGGACATTTCCCTCGGCCACTCTCAAGTCTTTCAACCTGCTGGAAACTGGACACATCCTACAGACCAGAAGGGGGCAATTGGTTTAGGGTCATGGGGAGGTTCATGGTGAGAATTACAAAGATGGTCAGATGAAAGAACAGTTCAATTTCCATTCCAATCCCCATCCGCTACCATCCCCATACTCCCAGTCTATTCCTGATTCCCCCACCCACCCCGTCATTTCCCATCTCTGCCATCCCTCTTTTCATCCATTTGCTCCTCTTCCCTCCATTCCCCTAGTTCCAACACCCACATGTCCTGATGAAAGAATACCACAGACAGCCCTAGAAGATGCTAAGAGGCTGAGGGGGCAGATCTTTCCTCTGAAATGCTAGGGTTTGCAACTGGCTGGAGAATATGTGACTGGACAAGGGGGACTAAGGGAAGAAAGCAAGTCTCCTGAGGGCTAGAGCTCTTAGGAAGGGTAAAGAATAGTTCAGGCTGATATAAGACCACCGGAAGCAGGGGCTTAGAGAGAAGGGCCATACTCCCCCTACTCCTACCCAAGGATGAAAGACAAGACCAGAGTCAAGGAAACATAGAAGGGGGGAAGGGAATCTGTAAAGTCAGTAAAGACCTGAAACTCAGGTAAGAATTTGAGGATTTGGCAAGTAACTGCCTTCTTCATCCAGGGACTACAGCAGGACTGACCTGGACAGGGGCGAGAGATGTAAGAGTTCCACCAGGGCCAGCTGGAAGTTACCTCAGCTGAGCATCCAGCACTAAGAGAGCACTTCAAGATAACATCTAAAAATGGCAACCAGGGATGATGTCAACCTAAGACTGGCAGGGAAGTTAACTGTGGCTGCTTAGGAATCAAAGTTATGGCATAGAAAAGCCAGACACAATACCTCTAGTTCACTAGGGAGGGCATATGGTATTGCTGGAGCCTAACTACACTGATGGCAGTTGGAGTGGGAACGTAGATCTATATCCCCTAAGTGTAAGTATACTACTGACCCATTCTAACTGCTCATCTATTTGCTATGGTCGGCAAGCAAGGTTTTACTTTACTGAGAGCCTTGAAGAAGGCCTGTTAAAATTAGATGTGATCTGAGGTCTCAAAAAAAGGGAACACTGGGTCAAGAAAGTCTTCTGGGATGAGAAAGTCTTCTGCCTCCACAGGGGCATAAGCATCTCACATGTGAGGCAGTGGGAGCAGCCTAGCCTGAGAAAATGACGGATGACAGTGAGAGATTACCAAGATGTCTGGGCACTTTGGACAAAGGTTAGTACATGCTGCTGTGGCCCATCAGTGACCTCTCACCTAAACTACAGCAGTAACCTCCTCCTCTCCACACTGCCTAGCCTTGCCCCCAATTTACTCTACATACCCCCCACAGATCAATATTCCTACAGTATCAGTCACTACCCTGGTAAGTTTTTGAGCAAGGAAGTGACAAAATGGCCCACCATTGCCTAGAGTACAAACACTTTAGTCAAAACTACTTACTTTCTAATGCTTCTCAAAATGAATACTTTCTTCTAACCAAACCTGGGTCACTTGTTATTCCTAGAAAACAAATTATGTTTTCTGATCCCTCTGCCTAAAACTACTCCCTTACATTTCATCAAGGACTCCTTTTCTCAATGCTCACCCTCCTAATCTTTAGGCTGCATTTGATACTTTTGACTCACTCCCTCCTTCAAATATTGTCTTGATTCTCTTGGAAGCCTACCATCCTCCTCCTATCTAATTGTTTCTCTATCTCCTTTGGTAGTTTCTATTTTCCTTTCTAGCCCCTAACCATGTATCATAAAGATCAATCCTTAGTCCTTGTCACACATATTTCAATAACCTCACTCATTCTTACATTTCCAGCTAGATTTTCTATGCAAATTATTGCCCAAATTCTCTGAAAGTGTGATGCCTTCCAATCTCTAGTTTGTGTTGGCACTTGACTGCTGGACTTCCTCACAGAGATGGTCTATCAGCCCCCTTAAAACCCAGTATGTTTTACTGAAGTATGAAACAATTCCTCTTACAGTTTCCCCAGATGGCATCATTGTGTTATCTAGGTTTATAATCTTTCAGCAAGTGAGACTCCTATTAACCAGATAGGTTATGTTTACTGTCTTATCAAAGTGACATTTCATTAGGGTCTGAAGGGGGCAAGACCACTCCACCACAGTCTCTGTCTGAGTGTTGAGATTCCTCACTGCATCATCAGTTGTGGTGGAGGCAAGTCTCGCTAGCTGAAAGACAGCTAGGTAGGAAGGCTCTCACCAAGCTGTAAGGTTGGAATCCATCCTTTGGCTTTGGCCAAGAAGGGTATAAGACATATAAAGGACCCTCCCCAGGTGGTTAGGGGGAAAACAAAAGAAAAGATGGCCCCTGTTACACGAAACAGGTCAAATGTCACAAGATAATGAAACCAGGTAAGGTCGTCTGTGCTGCAGACTGGACTAGAAGGACCGGGGGGTGGGGCAAAACCAGACACACCTGGATTTAAATCTTGGCTCTGCCGCTGCCACTTATATAATACTAGACATGGTACCTAACATTTTGGAACTTCCATTTCTTTGCTTGTAGAATGAAAATAAATAATACCTAAATATCATAGTGTGGTGATAAGAACTAAATTCAATTTTGAATGTAAAGTCCAGCACCAGCCTGGGCCAGAGTACATCTTCAACTGAATGTGAAATCTTGTCACTGCTATTGGTGTTTAAGTCTAGCATTTTTCTGTTAACTGCTGGAATTCTCTCAACAAAGCAAACTAAAATATTTTCCTCCAGGGGCGCCTGGGTGGCTCAGTCAGTTAAGCATTTGACTTCAGCTCGGATCATGATCTCATGGTTCATGGGTTCGAGCCCTACATTGGGCTCTCCACTCTCAGTGCAGAGCCCGCTTCAGATCCTCTGTCTCCCTCTCTCTCTGCCCCTGCTCCACTCACATGCTCTCTCTCTCTCTCTCTCTCAAAAATATGTTTTCCTCCAATGAACTGTCACTCAATGGCAGAACTTCACTTTTAGTTAGAGCTGGTAGGTCCAGTGCTTGAACTTCCTTTGTAAGAACCTTCATTTCTCTGAGCAATCAACTCTGAGTGAGTCGTTGTGTCTGGATCAGCTAGTCAAAGATCTCACATAATAGTTATACATAGTCTCAAAGTCATCAGTCTGGGATGTGAGAGGTTTAGCACTAAGGATTGAGGCAAGAACTTCCTTAAGCAGACGGGAGTGCCAGGTAGCAGGATAAGACAGTAAAGGCAGAAGAGAACTTTCAGGAAGTCTAGAGGTCAGTCTTAGTATATGGCTTGAAGTGTTAACACAGCTGATTTGGGGGGTAGGGGGCCTGTGCCCTATATTCTCCTACAAACAAGCCATGACCAAAGGATGCTCCTTCATTTCATATGCCTGCTAGATAGGAGTGTTCAGAGAAGGAGCTAAAAGTCATGGGAGTGCAGGACACAGATCCCTGGCTTTACTCTGGTTACTGATTTTTCTCAGGAGTAGTTAAGAGTCCAAGTGACACCAATCCTGACAGGACGTACAGAACATTTTATGTCCAGATACTTAGAATCTAACAACCATCAGGGTCCCCTCAGACAGCCGAGGAAGAATAGTAGGCCCTGGGAAATTAATTTGGAGTGATCATACTGTCTATAAGCCATGGTGCTGCTATTCACACCCTTGGGTTCCCCAAGTGTGTGCAGCCTGGAAAAAGACAAATATGGCAATGGCAGTTCCACACTACTTTCTGAGCTTTGTAAGAACTGTAGGGAAGCTATACCCTCAGCATTACTTGATGGAACATAGAGATTTTCAATACCACCCTGACCTGGAAACCTTGCCAAGATGAGGAAGCTATGCACACCCTGGGTGGAGAGTCTTTCTCATCCACATTATGAAAAGGACTCAACATAAGCCCAACTAACCCCAGGGCCAGCCTAGAGGGACTGACCGGGGCAGTCAAACATATACAGTCATAACACTGGAAACAAGAGACCTGAGGATGGCCTTCTGCAAGGAGGGGTTTGGAGATGCACACTGATAAGATCCAAGTGGCAAGGAGTACTGCAGTTTGCAAAAGGATCAAGTCAAAATCTACAGCTAAGGATCAGGGTCAGGAGAGAGAGTCATTGCACTCCCTCCTTTTGCTCCTTGGAGCAGAAAGGGGAGCCACTGAATACAAAGAACAGGGGAGGTTTCTGACTCATCCCAGGTTGTTGTCACAAGTGCATACTGGCAGAGGACCAGTAACTGACTGTTGGATAACTGATGGGAAAAGCTGAGGGTTCAAAAGCATTAAAACCCTCCTGAGATGCTACCAGTCCCAGTAACTTTAGAAGCCATGACTAGCTAGATATGATTAGGGGTGTACATGTACCAAGCCTGCCTGAGTATGAGGGCAAAGACGTCCAGGGCTCTGGCAGCAATGAACAGGACCTAGAAGAAGAGACGGCTGACAAAGTGCCCACTTTGAAGGCAAGATCCAGAATACGGGCCAGCAAGTACTACATTAGTGGGTAGTGACCTCAGAAGCCATGAGAGCAGAGGGTCACAGCCTGCGCAGAACGAAGTCGGCAGTGGGAGCAGGTGGTGAAAGACAGTCACCCACGTTGGGAGGAAGAAGCAGGCATGGGTTATGCTGATTAGGAAATGGATGTAGGCTGCTGGGACAAAGCATACACAGGACAAAGGAAACACGAGATACTAGCCTCGGAAGTCTCTCCTGAATTTATCCTCTCCCTAGCCTAGCTAGCATTCCTAATTTCCTTCACCGTCCCTCTTCTCTCTTCTCACTCTGTGTACCTCACCTTCTACAGACAACCTGCCTCGCCCTCCCACTCCTACCCCCACCCTGCAAAGACATCCCTCACCCCCAATGCTTTTCATGCACAAGTGTGGCTTTAAGCATGCTCCCTGTCATGGACACTCACAGGAGACCATTCCCATCCTCCCACCCGTCACTCACAATAACCCCGCACTTCGGGTCAAAAGCGAAGGTGCCACAAGTGAGGAGGTGAGAGGCATTGGCAATGGCGAGAATCTGGACAAAATTGTGGCATTCATCCTGGGGGTCAGAGATGATTAGAGAGAATCAGAAGCAGCAGGTACAGGGAAAGGCAGGGTAGTGTCAGGACAGTTAGATACAGCTCCGGGATCAGAGATGACAGGGGATGACATGGTGTTAGAGCCCCTGCCTGGGCCCACTGCTATGGGAGCACTGCAGGTGACAGACACAGAGCTAGGGCTAGAACCAGGTCTCAATGGGACACTTGGGACAGGGCCAGGATTCACACCTACCTCCTTCTTGCCTTTCTTCCTACAGTTCTGTCTGTGGGCCTCAGGCACCATCCAGTCAATCTGAGAAAGGAGGAGTGACTGTTTCTCCCAGATTCTCCCCAAACTCTTCCCAAGTCAGGGTAGGTGAAACAGTTCCACTACCACCATCAATTTGAGAACTTCAGAGACAACCCACCCCCCAGCCCCCACCCCTTCAGTCAGAGCATCATTTTTCCAACTGGAGGTCTCCACCCATTAATGAGTAATGAAATCAATTGTTTTTAATTTTAATGACATAGAATATATCAGAATGTATCACATACAGGAGAGTAGATACTGTTTCAAGAATGTGTTCTTTAAATACACACTTCCTGTACTGGGTCAAAATGTACCATATATTTCTTACTAAGGGATGGTACAAAAAAGTTTAAAAGCTATTGCCCTAAAGAAATGTGACTCTAATGATTCCTCTGCCCACTGTCACCTGAAACCTGGTTACTGTGGCCTCCTCTAGCATTAAACTCCCTCATAACGTCCCCAGTCACCATGACCCCCTCCCATCACCCTTAGCTGAGATAATGAAGCCAATATTCTTCCTATATTCATTTTTACCGACACTCCCCCCTGCCACCACCACCACTGTTCCATATTTAGTTATTATGAACACACACCCCATCTCATAACACTGTGGATCTAACCACATGCTCTGGAGTCTGGGGTTCTCCCCACTTTCATTTCTCACCCTGCGGGGTCTCTCCCCTGAGAAGGGCAGGGATAAAGCGAAGATGGTGTCCCGGGCGCCGACATAAAGTGTATGGGAAGCAGGATCCACAAGGAGGACAGAGTAATTGTATGTCTGAGGGACGGTGAACCGGGTGAGATAGGAGTCAGCCTCTGGCAGGAAGAGAGGGTGAGAGGGGAGAGTGATATCAGCCATTGTTTCATAAGGGTTGGGTCCACAAAGACAAAGCCAAAGGGCTCAATTTCTGTTTTCTTCCAAGTATCATTTATTTAGCAGCCATGAAGGGTAAAAACAGGGCTTTGACAGGCCAACCATCTAACTTCCCCAAAGACAGATAACTGATGAGGCCAGAATATTTAGCATACAATGCAGCCAAGTATGCTTTTTCTATAAAAATAAAACACTTTATTAAAATAACAGCATAAATACTAAGTCTGTAATTTCTATCCATAGCAACATGATACATAATTTGAAAATACCTATAGGAAGTACAAGTACCTTCTTCTCTAAATTTCCTTTTTAAAAAAAAAATAACTACTTATTAGTAACTTGTTTTTACTTGGAAGGGAAATGATTCACTCTCTTCACCAACACTTTAGGAGACTATCTCCTGTCTTCTCACTGCTCTTGTACCTCCCCAACCCCACCCCATTTCCACCCAAAGAGGGAAAAAGTGGGCATGAGAATGTGCTGTGGAGAAGGATCAGCCCCAGTTTAAATGTGGCTCTTTCACTTACCAGCTGTATGATCTTGAGTAAGTTACTTGCCCTGAGCATCACTTCCCTCATCTGTAAACACCACCAATCAGGCTTGTTGACAGAATTAAATGAGATGACATATGTAGAAGTAACTGACATATAGCGCATGTTTCACAAATGGTTCCTGTTTTCCTTCCTTAGGTATGTGCTCCATTTGGGCCAAGTCTAAACTTCAGTGTCATCATTCAAAATTCCATTTAAAGATTATAACAAATAAGTTAGCAGGAATTTATCTTCTTAGCTCACTCTGGAGCCCCTATCCTTGTACCAATACAGCTCTGCTCTACCTGGTTCATCTGCTCAGCTACCCTCAAGACTTGACAGAATGGCTACCAGCCATTCATTCCTGGATGTGCTGATGTATGGAGCCCCACCCACCCCATCCTCCCACACCCATAGTCAAATCTGCGCTGGACCTGCCTACTCTCTCATGCTCATTATAAGCCCTGGAACACCCAACCTCCACTCGTATCCCCAACTCTGTTTCACCTTGCTATCTAGACTTCTCTGAATTTCTGGTTATCAACCTCAACGCCATTTTGTGGCTATTGCTCCAGCACAAACCAACCCCAGGCTCTGACCACAACTTTGTCTTCTGGATTCAAAGTAACCCTATGTCACTAGGCTGAAGTTTAGACTCTAAATTACTATTACCCAGTTGCGAGGTTTTGCCAACAGGTTGCCCTCTCAACTTCACTGGGTCTGCACTAGGTGCTAACACTCAGTGCCCACTGAGAAGAAAACGAGGTCCATGGCCATGCCCATGCCCACCTCAGCAGAGAGCTTTTAAAGTGTGAATCATTCCAATGACCATTTTTAGCCTGGTGGCATCCCTTGGCTTCTTCCAGATCTTTTCAAAGGACCAAATCTCCACCCTCCTTTTTTTTTTTCTTCTGAAGACTTTAGAAATCATTTAAACAGAACTTTAAATCAACTCACTGAATGATTTCCTAACATTCAATGTAGGGAATGGGTAGAGAAAGCACGGAATGCTGAGGAGTTAAGAGGGTTACGATGGATCCACAGATCGTGTATCAGACAATGGGAGTTGGTGTAAGAGCTGTGAGAGGCCTGGGAAGTGGGTTAGGGAGATGAGGGCTTCGAGCGAGGCAAAAAGCCTGCAGGGAGATAGAAATGATAAGGGAATAGATTTGAGAAGTGGGCAGATGGAGATGCTGAGTTGGTCATCAGAAGGATGGGTGGCTGGAATAGAACGAAAGACCAATGAGTTTGGAAGCAGAATAGGCATCAAGCTGGCGTGAGGGACACAGGTGTATGTTTGGGCAGAAGGGAATATGGGAGTCCATTCCCCGAAATGGACGACCTCGGGGAAACTTCCATCCCCTCCCTGGGCCTCAGTGCCCGCTTCTGCACGATGAGGGGCTTAACTCTCTCGCGGTCCTGCCAGTAAGGGGCAGCAGGAGCCGCCTTGGGCGTGTCATGGGAGCCGAAGCGCGAGGCCGGGAAGCGATGCTGCGGAACAGCACAGCGTGGGGGTCCCGCCCGGGTCCTGGAGGGGCGTGGGTGGCGCGGGACTCGGTGCGCAGCGCGGAGGGGCCCCAGAGCGCCTGCCCGGGCTGGTAGGTAAGGGCAGGTGGGTGCCGGCACCTGCAGGCGGGGCCCGGGAGCGGCGCGAAGGGCTGAGGGCGAGGGCACCCACGCCTTACCTGAGATAGGAAGCGAGGTCCTGGGAACCGAGCGGGGAACGCGGCCGGATACCGGGCCGCTCAGCACCGCCAGCAGCAGCAACGGAAAGGGCGAGGCCGGAGGCGGCTGGGAGCCCGGGCGGGGCCGCCTGGCAAAAGCCAGCATCTTAGGCTCCGCCTGGCCGCTGGGTGGGGCGCGCCCTGTCACCTCCGCTCTGGGCCGCGGTGCCACCGGCCTCGGCCCCACTCGAATCTCCTCGGTCCGGTTCGGCCTGCGTCGGCCAGAGGAGAACGCAACCCAGCTCCGCCTCTTCAAGAAGGGACTAATGGTCGGGCCGATTTCCTCCTCCAGCCAATCGAAATTGGGTGGAGGCGGAGCTAAGGAGCGGAGAAGCCCAACCCAGGTACAGGAGGAGCTAGACCTAGGTCTAGGTGGGAGTTCTACTTCGGAACCGGGCTGGAGGTGCGGCTCCAGGTCCTCCAATGGCTGGTTTGCTTAGTGAGTTCCAAAAGCTTAAATGTCCATATCTGTACTACCAGGGAAAATATGTGTGTAAATGGGTAAACACACCACATTTCTCAAAATTATTATTTTAGCAAGCATTTCACCAATAACTGCAAATAGATCATTGCAAGGCAAAGTGATTTATGTTTGCATAAAAATGTGCAATAAATGCTCATAAAAGTTAGGTTTTGCCTGAGAAAATCAAGAAGGTTTCACAGAAATGACATCTGAACTGAGTGTTCAAGGATAAGTAGTAGGCCTTTGAGAGTGAGGGGGGCAAAGACTCTGGATATGTCCACTAGGAAATCCTACATACAAGACAAACACAGGACCTGAAAATAACTCACTGTCTCCATCATCACACCCTCCCTGATCATCAAGCACTTAGTCCTCCAATTTATAGCCTTGTAGGTAATCTTTGCTTTCTTCTCTTATATTCCCCATTGCTTAGTTATCTAGGCTGCATACCAGATGTAACAAATTAACATCAAAATTTAGTGGCTTAAAACAACAATAAACATTTATTATCTCTGTGTGTCAGGAATTCAGGAGTAGTTTAGCTGGGTTGTCTAGCTCCCAGTCTCTCATGAGTTTATAGTCATGATATTGGATGAAGCCACTAGTCATCTGAATGCTTGACTAGGGCTGGACGATCCACTTCTGGGATGGCTTAATTTCATGCCTGGCAAGTTGATGCTGGCTATTGGTAATAAGTCTCAATTCTTTTCCATATGGACCTCTCCATGGGTTGCTGGGATGTCTTCACAATATAGTATTACTTCTTTAGAGCTAGTAATCCCAAAAACCAAGGTGAAAGCCACAATGTCTTCTATAATCTAGCCTCAGAAGTAAAAATATAACTTCTGCCATATTCTGTCGGTCACACAGGCCAATCCTCATGCACTGTGGGGAGGGATAACACAAGGATGGAATACAAGAATTTCAGTGGACCATCCTGGAGGTTGTCTACCATGTCCAAATGTAAGCAGTCATCTTGTCCTGATAACTTACACTTATGAATCATAAATAACTTAAATTTGTCATTTTCTTTCAATTATTATCATAATTCAGGACTTTATTATTGCTCACCTAGACTATGCAATAGTTTCATTAAAAAAAAACAAAAACAAAAAAACCTGCCTCCAATCTCTTTCCAAGTTATCATCAGGGTAACCTCTCTAAGGTGCAAATTCTGTTTTATTTATTCAGTGGTTACTGAGGACCTATGATGTGCTAGGCATTTTATTAAGTAACATAGATAAAGATTATTAAAAAGATTCCTGCTGCCTGCTTTGGCAGCACATATACTAAAATTGGAACAATACAGAGATTAGCATGGCCCCTGCACAAGCGTGACATGCAAAACATGGATCCTGGATTCAAATTGCTTAGTCTAAAAGGGAAAATAGACACTGAAGATTGATACTTCAAGTCTTCTCTCTGAAACTTTTTTTCTAATACACCAGCCTCAACACAACAGGACCCTCCTCTGTGCTATTTCCTTTGGCACTGATATATGCCTCTCCCTAGCTGCTCCCCAACAATCTAACCTAGACCTTAGCCCTTCTCTGAATATGGTTTAAATATTGATTTTTTTTGTCTTTTGTTTGTTTTCAAAGAACTCTTTCCATTTTGTGGCAGCAACACACAATATGAAGTTCTTTTTTACATTGCAACCTAGTCATACTTAAGTACTTTTGTAGTAGTGAAGTAAACTTTCACAAAGTCATACTTTCACTATATTTCTTTAATTCAGGAGTTAAACCCTGATATTTTCTATGGGATTGCACTTTATTATCTTTCATTTTTTTAAATGCTGGTTGCAGCCCACTAAATTGATTTTACTACCTATTAATAGATTGAGATCCCCACTTTGAGAAAAATCGCTGCTCTAAGCTGACTGACTCATACTAAATCAATATCTATTCCTTAAATCTACATCTCCAACTCATATTTTTCTCTTCAGTTTCTGACACATATATCTAACTGGCTGTTGAACATCTCCACTCAGTGTACCACAGGCACCTTGCTTTCAACATGTCCAAAACAGAACTGTCATCCTCACTCCCACACCAGCCTGGGTAACTGGGTAAGACGGTAGAACCAATGTTTTTTTTTTTTATATCTGTATATAGCACCACTATCTTTCCAGCTATCCAAGCCAGAAAATTTGCACTCATTCTTCAATAAGTATTCAGTGAATGCCTATGATGTTCTAGGCTCTGTCATTCTGGATTCCTCCTAATCGATCCAATTACTCATGAAGACCTATTCATTTTAACTCCTAAATATCTCCTCCACATCTTTGTATCCCCCTACTAACACCCTTATTCAAGCTGCCATCATCTCTTGCCTGGTCTACTTCTTACTCCTGTCCTGCTTCCATCACCAGGCACCACCACCCCAACTCCAGCCCCCAATCCATTCCCTTCAGGGAAGATAGAATTTTCTCTCCAGTACACAAATCAGATCACTCCTTTGCTTGAAACACATCAGTCCAGCTCCTCACCATACCTTCGCTATGGGATGAAATCCAAAATCCTTAATATAGTCCACAGGACCTTTTATATTCTGGCCTCTTGCCTACCTCTTCCACATGCTGTGCTCTGGACTGGTTGAGCCTCTTAAGAATTCCCTCTACATGGAATATTCTCCATGTCCCTTATTTGGCTAACTCCTATTCACTCTATTGATTAAGCTCAGAATGATAATCCCATTCTCTAGGAAGCATTCCCAATTCTCCAAGTCTGTGCTTTTCCTATATGTTCCCATAACCTTGTACTTCCCTTGCCATAGCCCATATCACACCACATTGCCCATTGCCCAAGTACTTGTCTGTCCCTCATAGGCTTTAAGCCCCAGGAGGGCAAAGATTATTGTATTCTCAGATCCTAGCACGGTGTCTGGTATATAGTAGGCAGCCAATAAATATTTGGTAAATGCTTTTTATCTTTGTTCGTGTTTATTTTATTGTCTGAAATTACTTGTTCAAATATTCATGAGTTAGTCTAGGTCCTCTGAGAAGCAGACACCAAGATGAGATTAAATGTACAAGGATTTTACCAGGGAAACACCTGTGAGGGAAAAGGGAAATGGCTGGGAAAGCCTTCAAGAGCAGTCAGATGTGATGCAAGTCTAACCCTAGGTGAAGAAGAGAGGGAATGAAGCATCCTGTGCCTCCCAGGATCAACTCTTCCTTAGTATCCCGACCACACTCAGGCATTGGCTAGGAACAGCCTGTGGTCTTCACAAATATGACAGTGGATTTCTAAGACAGTATCTGATGCCTTTGGCCAGTTGCCCTCCCTTTAGTTTAAAACATGCAGGTTGCTTTCTTCATGCAGGTTGTCACCCTCCGAGTTTAGTAGAATCTTGGGGAAATCACATCATATTCCCCCACATCTAGCACAGTCTTTGGCACATTATCTAATAAATGCTACTCCAGATAGATAAAACAATTTATAGAGAAACAGAGAAATTTACTGTAGCTGGGAGCAATAGGTGATGTGATTTGCAATCAGTGTAAGGATATTGTTTGAGTTGAGCCTGATAAGGTAAGTGGAGTCAGTTATAACAGCCTTTGTAACCAAAACAAAGCAAAACAAAAAACAAAAACAAAAATATGTTTAAGCCAAAGAATGATGTCATCAAATATATTTTTACTAGGATAATTCTAGCATCAATGTATAGAATAATCTGGAAATTAAAGACAGGAAGACTAATTTGGAGTATGTGAGAAAGAAGACATGTTGAGAAGCTACACTTTATATTGAATCACAGGAAGTCTATTGATCAGATTACACCTGGGAGCCTGGATTAAGTATTTCTGGTTTTACTCTGAGGAGCAGTTGAGGGGACCAAAAATTGGTGTTGTAGGACTAAAACATAGGCAGGTGGTTCTTTTCCTATTGGTTCTAACTCGTCCTGAATCACTCGTTGGTAAACTGATTTCCCTCCCCCAACCTGCATAGCAGGCAATGAACTGAGTGAGGGGTGGAAAGAGATGACAATAAACAGGGAAACAGGGGAAAGCGCTTGTCCATTTCTGGTTTGGTACTAGCATTATTTTCTCCTCTCCTGTGGGCTAATTCAGAGAGGAATTCCTTCAACCAGGGTTGAAGACCCGGATCAGCCAAATGATCCTATCTCAACTGGATTTTGGCAAAGGGACTATAGGAATCATCAGCAAGCAAATGAGAACGAGCATGAGTAGAGACGGGCAGACCCTCTTGGGATGTAGAGGTTTGAAGACTTGAAAGGACTTCTTGAAGGTAAACTAAACTCTAACTTCCATGAGGGCAGGGGACCATTGTGTGTCCAGTGTACCCCAATCCTAGCACAGTGCCTGGCACATAGTGTGCCCTCAACAAATATTTATTGAATAAAAGAGTGACCAACTGAATAAGTGAATGAATGATGTGGAAGAGAAAGGTTAAAGCTAAGGACACAATGGCGGTGCCCCCTGGAATGTCTCATTGCTGGGAGGGGGGGAGGGGGAGGTGTTACTGGAATGTTTAATTGGGGGTGGGGTTTAACTACCGAAGAAGTGTCAAGTTTAGCATGATACTCTCAAAGAGATATCCAAAACTCTACCTCAGGGCCAAAATAGGGCCATTTCCCTGGCGCCCGGGGGCTCGGAGACTGTGGCCCTGAGGTAGACCCTGAGACGGCCCCTGAGGCGGTGCGCTCAGTGAGCAGTCCTGCGCAGCCGCAGCCTGCCGGACGCGGGCGCTTTCGACGGCGCAGGCGCACTCCGAGAGCCTAGAGGTGCAGGTAATGGGGTCTTAGCCTTCCCAAAACAAGGGGGG